AACTTTTCGTTCCACTTTAAGCCTAAATTGTTGACTGCCGGTCAGCTCTAATGCTATTTCATGGCTCTTTTTTCTGCTATATTGATGCGCTCACAATCAGTATTTTTTCTGCCATCACATCTAATTCGTCTTTTGCACCCAAGTCGTGTGCGTGCTTGCCATTGACTTCTTCAACTTCACTTCGTTTTGAGTATTTTTTTCTAATTCCAAGCGCCAACATGAGCCGCTTAATAGGCGTTTAAAGCGTGAACGCTATTTAACCTCGTTCTCTACGCATACTTTACTTTGCGTGAGCATATTGCCTCACTTATGCATTAACTGCGCATAACGAAATTCAATCAACTTTTTTCACCAACTATCTGCGTTTGTTGTTTTAAGACTAACCTAAGTATGCACTTTTTAATCAGTGCAATTTTTTAAATTTCTATCGACATGTTTTTTCGCATATTACATTTGAATGCAGCTAATTCTTGAACTTGTAATCCTTTAAGCCTCTGCATAATTAAACTTTTTCTTATTGACTTCTTTGACTACACTTTAATCGCAATTCGCTTTTATGTCTCAAACCGATTTACCCACTTTTATGACTTCCTCAGAGCACTTTGGCTTTGCTTGTCGCCCATCTTCATTTCATATTCTCTCAGGCAAATTAACCACAGTGGTGGTATCAGTTTAAGCGAGTAATTAAGTAATTAAACAGCGACAAGTTGCTCACAGCTCTTATGCTGCATTGCTGCTTAGCACGTAGAAACAACAATCACAAGAACAACAACAACAGCTGCAGCAATAAATTGCACATCATTTTACTACTTACTTATAAGTTCGCTGAGCCAGCTAGTTGGCTGGCAGGCTGGTGGAGCAGGAAGGCACAAAATAATTGAACTCTAGCTTCCTTGACAGTCTATTGTGGCACTCAAAAGCCTGTAGCACACCGATTTGCGCTCCCCGCTTGCTGCCATCTATGGTCTTACAAATATTTTTCTTTAGTATTTTTTCTTATTCCTACACTTTTATTTTTATTTGTTGATAGCGTTGGTTTTCTTATTTTTTTCAACTTTTTGATTTTCTCATTTTGTTATGACGTCGCCTTGTTAACAATTAAATTGTCATTTTAACAAGCTTAAACTTGTTGTAAATGTTAATTGCCGGACAGTTATAAATCAGAGCAATACAGTGTGAGTGTGTGGTGTGTGTGTCTATTTTTGGGCAGCCGGTAGCCAATGCTGCCTGCCCACCTCTCATGCCAGCCGCCTGGAGGAAGACTCGATTCTTCGTTGTCTATATTGCGCGTGCGTCTTTTTTGCTGCTGTTGCTAGACACTTGTTTGCTCTAGTTTTTTTTTTAATCTTGTTCATGTTTTGTTATATGCGTATGTTCCTTTGTATGTATGTTGTTTTTTTTTTCTGTTGTAGAAACTGCCTCCATTTTTGGTTGTGCATTTAATGAAGCGTTGATTGCTTGTCGGCTAGTTTTTAGGTGTGTTTATAGGGTGAAAAAATATGTTTGCTTTATTTGTATTTAATTTCTTCATTGCTACGCACTTTTTGCGTATTTTTATTTTGCTAAAAAAATTTCACCCCATTTTGTAGCTTTGCATTTCTGCTTATTAAATGTGCAAAAATATTTTTGGGTTATTGTTCTCATTTTACGCGCATGCGCAGAGCTAGAGGTATAGAAAAATGAAATAAGAAATGAAATAAATATTTAATTGCCTTTATTAGTATAAATAAGAAAAATGTCTCTGAAGATAGCAGAACGCCATGAGCGTGTTTTATTCAAACCAAATTTGACAGTCGTTCAAAAATATTTACGTAGAATTTTTTGTAAAATAATATTTTTTTTTGTTTTTTATATTTTACTATTTTAAATTGGTATTTTTGAGTTTTTTGTCATATCAATTTGTAAATCAAATTGTAAATCATTAAAATTTAAAAATTGTTTACGAATCTTTTTTTTTTTTAATTTATCTGCTTTTTAAATTTTATTTATACATTCATACTCTTTATCCTCTTTGTTTATTTATTTACATACATATTGAATCTTTTGTCATTTTACCTTTTCAATTTAAGTTTTTTATTTCAATATACATATGTATGTGTTTTTCAAAATATTAAAAAAAAATTATTTTTAAAGTTAATTTTTGACCTAAATATTTTTTAATAATTTTTATTTATTTTTTAAACTTACTTTTTTATTTTATTTTTTGTTTCCTTTCTCTATTATTTTTGCATTTGAAGTGTTTCTGAATGTTTTGTTTTTAACGTTGATAATTTTTCACTTTGTGTGAATACTAACTCTTACTATGTTTGTGTATTTGTTTTTAAATTTTTTGTCATAAGTTTTTTTTAATTTTTATTTAGATATTTTTTAATTTTAATTTATATTTCTTTAATTTTTACGTGCTCATATCGGCTCGTATTAATAGATTCAATCTGTGTTTCTTCAGCTAATCGCATAATCAAAACGAAATTTTGTACAAATTGCATTACAAACAAAGTGGCATATTTAAAAAAAAAAATATTGACACATTTTTATGTTTCTTGCTCGGTAAATAAATTTTGCTACACAAAATTAAAAAAAATATACTACTGAATTGTCGCAACTCTGACAAAATTTTTTATTTACAAATTTTTATTCAATAATTTTTTTTTCTAAATTTTGCTTAACATTTTTTTTAGCATTTTTTTTACTTTGTCTTTATTAAAATTTTTTTGGTTTTTGTTTTTATTTTAAATTTTCATAATTTTTAAGTGTTTCGTTTATGTAAATTTAAGTTTTTTTATTTTGTATTTTTTTATCTCTCCCATTCCACTTAATCACTTTCTAATTAGCTCCAAAATTTATGTACCGCAACTATACAAAGCGGTGGCGCCGCTGCTTGTTTGCTTGCTTTCTTGTCTTCTCTCACTTTAGCAAAATTTGTTTTTTCCTCGTACATCAACACTAATAAAATTTCGCTAATAAATGCTGACAGTTTTATCACCCAGCAGCTGAAACATTGTAAAGCAAAAAAATTAAACAAAAACTCAACACAAACAGCTCCACTCATTTTTGGGCTATTAACAGCTCCGTTTATGTTTTGGATATTTTCGTTTCTTGCTTCTTGTTAATTTAAAATCTGCCTTTTTATAGCCGCAAATCAAATTATGCTAATTTGATGCCTCGTTAGCTTTACGACAATTTCGCATACAAAATTTTCTTTTCTGCTAGCCTCACGAATCGACACATGTTGTCAAGATTTAATTGTGCTTATTATGTATTGGAGACATTTTTGGCGAAAATTTGCGTTTGTTTTCCTTTTGAGAAAAGTATGTAACTATAAAAATTGAGTGAAGAAAAGTTGAATGCATATGTAAGTCATTTGTTAACACGAAAAAAATGAAATAAAATTGAAAATATAATAAAAATAAAAAGGAAATAATAAAAATAATAAAAACAAAAATGAAAAAAATAAAATAAAAAATATAAATAAGAAAATAAAAAAAAAAAAACAAATACAAAATATAAAAATTAAAAAATTAAATAAAATATATTAACACATTTTTTTATAAAATTAAGAATGTGTAAAAATAAAAAATTAAAACAATATGTTATTTTTGATGCATAACATAAAAAATATTTGCACAATGACACACATTTTTTGTTGCAATTTTGCGTTTCTTCAAATTTATCACAATTTCACCACACAAGAGCTCTCGCTCCAAAAAAAAAATCGTATTTTTGCGCAGATTTATGATTAATAAAAATGCAACAAAAATTAAAACATAGTTTCTACATATGCTGCCTCAAGTAGGAGCTTGCAGGCAACACATGCAACACCAGTGCTTATGAATATGCATTTTCGGTCTCTTGCTGTGCATTTGTCATTTTTTCGGTTGCCACGCATGTGCACACGCACACACATCCATAAGTAAATCAGCAACTTAATCACCAACTGATTTGAAGCATAAGTGTACATTTGTATGTATAACTTGTCCTTTCGATCGCAAAGTAAAATTAAAACAAACAAAAAATCCCAGCAGCAACATTGCCAGCCAAAAAATGTGCAACAAATAAGAAAAACAACAACCAAGCTGCACAAGCGATTTACAGTTCTGGAGCGCGATCAGGCGGTGGTGTCGGGGTTGAGGCGGCAGTCGATTGGCCGGCAAAATGCGAGTGATTGGAGTGTCTCTCGAGTAGCCGCCGCCCGCCACTGTTCGTTCGCCGGTTTGTTTCTTCGCTGCAGCCAGAATTCGCAAATTTCTTTATTTGTATATCGCCTTCGCTTTTATTTCTGTATTTTAGTGATTTCTTGCTGGAATATTTTCTTACCAACAATCTCTTAAGGCCCGCAAAGAATTCTTCAACTTAAGCTTTTTGTTCATACACACATACATATGTACATACGTATCTCAGCAATTGTCGTATCTGCCGCTCCAGTCACTGCCTTCCGCCAACTACTCCTCCCCGCTTGACTGTAATTTTGTAGCATTTTGCTTAAATACCACGTTGAAAGATTTATTGTCATGTTGCAGCAGTAGCTGGCTGGCATTTTATGCCGCCACAAAAAGAATGAGCCATGTTGTAGAGAGATGCAGAGAGTCAGGGTGGAGCGGAAAAGGAATGCAACATCTTTTAAGTGGAATTGCTGGAAGGCCAGCAGAAGCGGCAGGCAGGCAGGCTGGCGAACAAACAAAAACAAAAAAAAAAAAATCAGCTGGAAAAAATTGCGTGTAAACTTAAATGAATTGCTTTATAATTCGATTAGTTGGCGGCGCGTAGCAGCAATTTAAAAATGAATTTCAAGATAAATACAAATTTACTTTGCTGTGGGTTGCGCAGGTACTCCACTCTTGTGCGATTGCAAAAATTTTTATGTTGCTAAGAATTTCCTCACGGATAGGTTGCTGAAAAATAATTAAGACTATTTTTTAAGTGGAACATATTTTTATTACTTGTTATATAATCGTACTTATATTGGCTTTCATCAAATTTATTTTACTAATTTTTTTTCGTAACTTCTTTCTCTTCACCAGGTCCACAGTTCCGGTTTATTCGAATTACGATTACGTTATTTCAATAATGATTACGGTCGCGATAGCGAAGGTAATTGCTGTAGTGGCATCTCCGATCCGCAAACGGGCAAATGTATCGGTACGTGTAAGACACGGTTTCGCGTTTGTCTCAAACATTATCAAGCGAAAATCGATACAACCTCACAGTGTACGTACGGTGATGTTGTGACGCCGATACTCGGTGAAAATTCGGTAAATCTAACGAATACGCAAAAATTTAAAAGCAAAGGTTTCACGAATCCCATACAATTTGCGTTCAACTTTGCATGGCCGGTGAGTAGAACAAAATCTTACTTTTTATACATACTTTAAACTAAATTTGATCATAAAGAAACTGGGTTCGAACAATATTGGTATTTCATAAAAATAACGAACTAAAAAATTCGAACAATGGTACACCACAAGTGTGTTTTCGAAAAGTTTTTGAACTAGATTTGCAGTTTCGAACATTATCGATAGTCCAAAACACCTTAGGTTTAGCAAATATGGGCATGGGTCCACAAGGAACTCCGTTTCGAAAAGTCTATAGCTTTCACAGGTTCTTATAGTCGGATAAATGTTCACGAAAATCGCCGAAAAAAAGTTTTCGAAAAATTTTGAACTTCACATGCTCTTGTGCGCCATTGTTAGTTGTTGATAAAACAAATTTTTGGTTACAAATACGCACAGAGAAAATTAAAATTGCGTTTTTGAAGTTTTTTGTGCTTCACCTCTGAGTTCAAGCTCGTTTCGATGTTAATAAGTTAAGTTCATCTAAAAATGTGCCCGAAAATGGTAGAAAAATATGATTTCGAAAAATTTTGAACTTCACATAACTTGAGTTGTAAGACTATATTTTGCTTGTGCTGTTTATGATTTTGAATAGTTTTCGAATTTCATTAACGATTTTCACTCTTATTGATTGTTGAGAAACCTAAATATTTTCCAACTATACACTAAGTAAGCTAAAACGGCGTTTTGAAAAGTTTTTGAAGTATTATTATGAGCTCAAGTGTTTTTAACCGTTAAGGAATGAATGCGGCCTAAAAAGTTACGCGAAAGTTGCTTCACAAAGCTTTAAAAAAAAATTGAACTAGACTGCCGCTAATTTAGCCAAATTTTGAGCTGGAAGTCTAAATATTGCATGTGTTGCATTTTCCAATCGGTTTCGACAGTGATTTACGTGTTTCAGCACGATTGGCTGCTGATGGGCCAACTGCTTTTTTTTCATATGTACAGTACTCCAAAATGCAAAAGTACCATTTTTGAAAAGTTTGTAGGTATGTACTTAATTTATGAGTTTTAAAATGTTTTACTGCTAAGCTAATATAATTGGAAAATACTCGCGAAAGGGGCTGCAAAAGGCGTTTTCGAAAAATTTTAACTTTACTTGCACATAACTGGGCGAAATTTGGCGGGATAAAGTTCAAATTTTGCAGGGAGGTGCTTATAATGACATCTAATAAAAACAGTATAGCTATCACCTTCAAAGCAATACACTAAAAC